GTAACTTTAGCAGGTGGCAAGTGAATATTTCCAGCAGTGTATGGTAACTCCTCTTGTTACATTGTCTGATACTTGATGTTGTCAGCCTTTTTCATTTTAGTCCTCTTGATAAGTATATAGTGCTGTCTCTTATAGTTTTTGTTTTGTTTTTTGGAGGAGATTTCTTTGCTTGTTTTTGAGTCAGTGTTACAGATGGTCAGGGTCTGGTTGGTGTTTCCAGGTTCTTGGCTTCTTATTCAGGAACTGAAATCAAAGCCCACAAAAGGGTCTAGGAAGATGACTCAGTGATTAAAGGGCTGCAAGCATGAGGACCAGAGTTCAGATCCCAAGAACCCACATAAATGTTGAGTAGGCATGGTAGCCTACCTGTAATTCCATGGTAGCCTACTTGTAATTCCAGGCTCAGAAGGTGGAAATGGGATCCCCAGAGCAAGCCAGCTATCAAAACTAGCCATATCAACAAGTTCTGATTGAGAGACCTGCCTCAATGAACAAGGTGGAAGAGTAATGGAGGATGATTCCTGACATCAACCTTGGGCCTCCACATGCATGTGCACACATGTACATGCATGTGCACACATGTACATGCATGTACACACATAAACACACACATGAAAAATGAGATTTTAAAAGTCCATAGAGATTTCAAAGAAAATTGTTTAAAGCAAAGACCAGAATACACTGCAGGGATCAATGGGCCCCAATTACTGTTTGATGTTTCCTTTTATGGAGTTGAAGAGGAGGAGTTTTGGTTGCTAAGGGGTTTAGCATGGGCAGTTCTCTATTTTGACAGATAGATTACATCATATGATAATTTTTCTACTACCTCTTCCCTTGATGCATTTGATTTTAATCGTATGCCCAATTATGCATAGATATTAAATGATAAATAGGGAATTTATTTTCACTCCCTAAAAGGTCACTTGAGGACACAGTTTTGCCTTACAGTGCATGCACTCAAAATCAGTTCAGGCTGAATCACACCAACACCCTCCTCCCCTCCAACCACATGGACCATGATATATTGGGAACATATTTGAATAGACATTGTCTAAGTTTGATGGTCATCAGTGGGAAGAGAAACTTATCCTATTGTTCAGCGACAGATGTATGTGTAGCTTAATGCAAGTAGGGGTTCGAGGTTGTTTGGAGAGGGGTATATGTGCATGCATTGTATGTGTCAGTAAGGAACTGGGCTGCCAAGTGAGTTAGTATGAGAAAAGGGGTATACATAATAACCCCAAGCTGTGTATTCCAGGTTGGACTCAAACTCAAATCAGTCTCTTGCCTAACTTCTTTTTTAAAAAAATATTTATTATT